GAGGACTCAGAAAGTGGAATCTGCACAAGAAACCTAAAGGGGGAGGAGAAGAAAAACCCTTGAATCGTTATAACTAAACCCCAGATGCAACGCAAGCAACGACTTCGTCACACTAAAATAGATTTTGTGAGGGCCCAAATTATAAACTACGAAGCAGAAATGAATATCAAACAACATCCAGCGGTTTGCACCTAGAGAAAGACAAGAACCTACTGCAAACAAACAAGCCCAGTCCAAACAACGCCTCCAGTAGGAACAGAGGAATACCGCTACAGCAGGACCCCCGAGAAGAGATCAGACCAACACGCTGAGAGTGGGGAGTCAGCAAACCTCCAAATCTCCGAGTGTGCCACGGACTGAGTTGCACTTTACTGCTCTCTGGACATTAATTATATCCTTCACCTTCCATTTGTGGGAGGGTGAGGAGAGAGGCAGTCACCTACGCAAGTCCTACCAGCGTGGGAGAGAAGTTGAGAATGAAACACTGAATGTTTCGCTTTTATTTTAAATTTTACTTTGGCACTTAAAAGATCTCATTTCCAGATTTCTGGGCAATCTCGGCTGCAAACATCTAAGCCTAAACTCTTGGTTAGGCTTTTCCCACACTTTTCCCCCTCCCTTCAACTCTCCACGCTCGTCTTTATTTTACATATCAAGAGAAAGCAAAAAGTCCCAGCAGGTACTTTTCTTTTTCAAAGATCACTTTTTTCCTTATTTTCTGGAGAAGAAAGGAGGTTTCAGAAAGAAGGGAAAGAAAGATTCCGCTGGCTGTGGCCTCAGCGGGTCAGCCCAGGTGGAAAACAAGAGTGAAAGTGGGGCTGAGGGGAGCGCACCGCCTCTTTCGCAAGCCGCAGGGCCACCACCAGTGCGTGAGCCTTGGATCCCTCAACGTACTGCGAGACGCCGGTGTATAGCCCGGACCTGTGCCCCAACATGATCGCCGCTCAGGCCAAGCTGGTCTACCAGCTCAATAAATACTACACAGAGCGCTGCCAAGCGCGCAAAGCGGCCATCGCCAAGACCATCCGAGAGGTCTGTAAGGTGGTCTCGGACGTGCTAAAGGAAGTGGAGGTGCAGGAGCCTCGCTTCATCAGCTCCCTGAGCGAGATCGATGCCCGCTACGAGGGGCTGGAGGTCATCTCGCCCACAGAATTCGAGGTGGTGCTCTACCTAAACCAGATGGGCGTCTTCAACTTCGTGGACGACGGCTCGCTGCCCGGCTGCGCGGTGCTCAAACTGAGCGATGGTCGGAAGCGGAGCATGTCTCTCTGGGTTGAGTTCATCACAGCGTCTGGTTACCTCTCCGCGCGCAAGATCCGATCACGCTTCCAAACGCTGGTGGCTCAAGCGGTGGACAAGTGCAGCTACCGGGATGTGGTCAAGATGATCGCGGATACCAGCGAGGTCAAGTTGCGCATCAGAGAGCGCTATGTGGTGCAAATCACTCCGGCGTTCAAGTGCACCGGTATCTGGCCTCGCAGTGCGGCACAGTGGCCTATGCCTCACATCCCCTGGCCGGGCCCCAATCGGGTGGCGGAGGTCAAGGCCGAAGGGTTCAACTTGCTCTCAAAGGAGTGCTACTCGCTGACCGGCAAGCAGAGCTCTGCAGAGAGCGATGCCTGGGTGCTACAGTTTGGGGAGGCAGAGAACCGCCTGCTGATGGGCGGCTGCCGAAACAAGTGTCTGTCGGTGCTGAAGACGCTGCGGGACCGCCACCTGGAACTGCCAGGCCAGCCGCTCAACAACTACCACATGAAGACGCTGCTGCTGTATGAGTGCGAGAAACACCCGCGGGAAACGGACTGGGACGAGGCATGCCTCGGTGATCGGCTCAACGGCATCCTGCTGCAGCTCATCTCCTGCCTGCAGTGCCGCCGCTGCCCTCACTACTTTCTGCCCAACCTCGACCTTTTTCAGGGCAAACCCCACTCGGCCCTGGAGAGTGCTGCCAAGCAGACCTGGAGGTTGGCCAGGGAAATTCTCACCAATCCCAAAAGCCTGGACAAACTATAGGGTGCTGGGGACTGCTTGAAAAGCAACACAACCAGGAATGCTCTCGTGCACACAACACACTACTCAGCAACAAACACCGGAAACTCGACACAAACTTTTATGTAAGCCACCTGAAAGAAACGAACCAAGCGGCAGACCTTCATTAATTAACAAGCAAACAAAAAGAGGGGAGTCAGCCAACGAACCAAACACCACAAAATCACGTTCTTGCACAAAAGTGATCGTTTTCTTCCAAACAATGTGAATTTAAAAGGTCACACAAAAGAAGCAATCGAGCTTTGCCACCACAAAATGAAACCCCAGGTACATTTTCAAATCAATGTATAGTAGTTTCTCCCCTTTTCCTTCTCTCCCTTTCTCCTCTCCTCTCTATTTTCTGTCTGTCTGTCTCGCTTTCTCTCATTTCATTTTGTTTTTGGTTGCCTGAATGTTGTCACCAAGTGAAAAAAAAGTATTTAATTATATGTAAAATTTCTCTTTAAAAAAAATTTTTCGCTGATGTTAAATGCATCTCAGTGCCAATGTCAGACTGTGCCCTTCCCTCTCTTGCGCCTTTACCCTCGCCCTAAGCAGTCTTGTGGAAAGCAGTAATAAAAATATTACTTTACATTGTAATTGACTGTTTGTGGATTGTTCTTAAATGAAGGCAAGTGAGATCCTAATTTATAATTTACAATGTAAAGTTGTGAATTTGAGAAACTAAATACAAGAAGCTGTCATTTGACCTCTAATTTGCAAAATTTACAAATACAGCATATTTTATAAGCATACAAGTTCCCACCAAAATTTTTAGAAAAGAGAAAATATTAATTTTACCCAACTATATATGTTCTGTAGGTTTTAAGATTAAAACTCGTAACCACATTGACGTTTGAAAAAAAAAAAAAACCCAGATTTTATATGGAAGAACAGATTTTAATCCCAATTTTTTAAATAGAAAAAAAAATAGATTTGCTTTTTATGCAATAAAGTCCACTCTGAGTCCGAAATACAAAGGAAATATTTATGGATCTTTTCTGAATAGTTAACACTATCAGTTGACACTTTCCTTCAGTCATTGTCCTCTAAGCTTTGAATAATAAAAACTTAACAGTAAAAAGGATAAAATGATTATAGCAATATTCCTTTTCCTAGCAAATGGTGATATGAACAACCCAGATTTATGAATTACTTCAATTTTTAAAACGGCTTAGTTATAAATGCCAAAACTATGACCATTTTTATCAAATTCCCAGAATTACTTGGAATTATTCTGCAGCTTCTTATAGGCAATTTAAACAAAGAAGGTTTTGATACAATTTTTATAATGCCCCCAAATTTTACTATTTCAAGAATTTACATACAGGAAAAGTACATTACTACTCTTTTTGCCTTTAAGGTAACAATGCAATTACTCCTTTCAACATTTCAACTTTAAGGTTTCTTTTTAACACAAAGAAATAACTGATTTTTAAAAAGTTGGTAAAAGTGAAAGTATCCTACAGGAACTGGTTAGTCTTGTTTATGTTGGAGGTAACAATATATTCCATAAGATATGCTAATGATAAAGCCACAGGTATAGAATATACATCAGATGTTATCCAATAGTATTTAAAATTTGCCCTTTGAATTCGCCTAGTTTTTAATTTATTGAGAAAATTCCATAAATGAGAGATATACAGAAAAATGTTCTAAAAAGCAATTTTAAAGATCAGAGGAACATGTCTGCATGGGGGAGGGAGTGTATGGAGGGATAAGCCACAGGCTAGCAGAGATGGATGAAAAACAAGGAAGGGTACTCAGGGCTCTGTCGCCTAGTTCATTTGACAAAACAGTCTGAAGTCATAAGATTTCCTGGTAAAATTTCCCTAGTAAAAACAGTTCTGTGTTAGAAATATAAACTTTGATCTTATCAGTTCTGAAATCATCCCCAGTCTTTCAACCTGTATC